GGGCTAGAGGCTTATCTATTTTGTTTATTTTCTCAAAGAACCAGCTCTTGGTTTCGTTGATTTTTGCTATTGTTTTATTCTTCTCAATTTTGTTTATTTCTTCTCTGATCTTTATTATGTCCCTCCTTCTGCTGACTTTAGGCCTCATTTGTTCTTCTTTTTCCAGTTTTAATAATTGTGATGTTAGACTATTCATTTGGGATTGTTCTTCCTTCTTCAAGTGTGCCTGGATTGCTATATACTTTCCTCTTAAGACTGCTTTCGCTGCATCCCACAGAAGTTGGGGCTTAGTGTTGTTGTTGTCATTTGTTTCTATATATTCCTTGATCTCTATTTTGATTTGTTCATTGATCCATTGATTATTTAGTAGCATGTTGTTAAGCCTCCATGTGTTTGTGAGCCTTTTTGTTTTCTTTGTAGAATTTATTTCTACTTTCATACCTTTGTGGTCTGAAAAATTGGTTGGTAGAATTTCAATATTGTGGAATTTACTGAGGCTCTTTTTGTGAGCTAGTATGTGGTCTATTCTGGAGAATGTTCCATGTGCACTTGAGAAGAATGTATATCCTGTTGCTTTTGGATGTAAAGTTCTATAGATGTCTATTAGGTCCATCTGTTCTAGTGTGTTGTTCAGTGCCTGTGTGTCTTTACTTATTTTCTGCCCGGTGGATCTATCCTTTGGGGTGAGTGGTGTGTTGAAGTCTCCTACAATGAATGCATTGCAGTCTATTTCCCTCTTTAGTTCTGTTAGTATTTGCTTCACATATGCTGGTGCTCCTGTATTGGGTGCATATATATTTAGAATGGTTATATCCTCTTGTTGGACTAAGCCCTTTATCATTATGTAGTGGCCTTCTTTATCTCTTGTTACTTTCTTTGTTTTGAAGTCTATTTTGTCTGATATTAGTACTGCAACCCCTGCTTTCTTCTCACTGTTGTTTGCCTGAAATATGTTTTTCCATCCCTTGACTTTTAGTCTATGCTTATCTTTGGGTTTAAGGTGAGTTTCTTGTAAGCAGCATATAGATGGGTCTTGCTTTTTTATCCATTCTATTACTCTATGTCTTTTGATTGGTGCATTAAGTCCATTTACATTTAGGGTGACTATTGAAAGATATGTACTTATTGCCATTGCAGGCTTTAGATTCGTGGTTACCAAAGGTTCAAGGTTAGCTTCTTTAGTATCTTACTGCCTAACTTAGCTCGCTTATTGAGCTGTTATATACACTGTCTGGAGAGTCTTTTCTTCTCTCCCTTCTTATTCCTCCTCCTCCATTCTTCATATGTTGTGTGTTTTGTTCTGTGCTCTTTTTAGGGGTGCTCCCATCTAGAGCAGTCCCTGTAGGATGCCCTGTAGAGGTGGTTTGTGGGAAGCAAATTCCCTCAGCTTTTGCTTGTCTGGGAATTGTTTGATCCCACCATCATATTTAAATGATAGTCGTGCTGGATACAGTATCCTTGGTTCAAGGCCCTTCTGTTTCATTGCATTAAGTATATCATGCCATTCTCTTCTGGCCTGTAGGGTTTCTGTTGAGAAGTCTGATGTTAGCCTGATTGGTTTTCCTTTATAGGTGACCTTTTTCTCTCTAGCTGCCTTTAAAACTCTTTCCTTGTCCTTGATCCTTGCCATTTTAATTATTATGTGTCTTGGTGTTGTCCTCCTTGGATCCTTTCTGTTGGGGGTTCTGTATAATTCCATGGTCTGTTCGATTATTTCCTCCCCCAGTTTGGGGAAGTTTTCAGCAATTATTTCTTCAAAGACACTTTCTATCCCTTTTCCTCTTTCTTCCTCTTCTGGTATCCCTATAATACGAATGTTTTTCCTTTTGTATTGGTCACATATTTCTCTTAGTGTTGTTTCATTCCTGGAGATCCTTTTATCTCTCTCTATGTCAGCTTCTATACGTTCCTGTTCTCTGGCTTCTATTCCTTCAATGGCCTCTTGCATCTTATCCATTCTGCTTATAAATCCTTCCAGGGATTGTTTCACTTCTGTGATCTCTTTCCTGACATCTGTGATCTCCTTCCGGACTTCATCCCACTGCTCTTGCATTTTTCTCTGCATCTCATCCCACTGCTCTTGCATTTTTCTCTGCATCTCATCCCATTGCTCTTGCATTTTTTTCTGCATCTCTGTCAGCATGTTCATGATTTTTATTTTGAATTCTTTTTCAGGAGGACTAGTTAGGTCTGTCTCCTTCTCAGGTGTTGTCTCTGTGATCTTTGTCTGCCTGTAGTTTTGCCTTTTCATGGTGATAGAGATAGTTTGCAGAGCTGGTACAAGTGACCGCTGGAAGAGCTTCCCTTCTTGTTGGTTTGTAGCCTTTTCCTGGGAGAATAGCGACCTCTAGTGGCTTGTGCTGGGCAGCTGTGCGCAGACAGGGCTTCTGCTTCCTGCCCAGTTGCTTTGGGGTTTATCTCCGCTGTTGCTGTGGGCTTGGCCTGGCTGGGGCTGTTCCTCCAAAATGGTGGAGCCCCGTTGGAGGGGGAGCAGCCAGGAGACTATTTATCTCCGTAAGGGGCCTCTGTGCTCCCTGCTGCCCAGGGGGTTAGAGTGCCCAGAGATCCCCAGATTCCCTGCTTCTGGTCTAAGTGACCTGTCCTGCCCCTTTAAGATTTCCAAAAAGCACTCTCCAAACCAAAACAACAACAGCAACAATGAGAGAGGGAACAGAAAGGAAAAAAAAAAGAAAAAACACGCGATTTTTTTTTTTTTTTCCCCAGGTGCCGGTCCCAGGCACCCGCGCACTGGTCCTGCTGCCCTGTCTCCCTAGCACCAGGGTCCCTGTCCTTTCAAGGCTTCCAAAAAGCACCCACCCACCGGTCCCGCAGGGAAGGAACGCTCAATATTCTTGGTCCTCAGGCACTGGTCCCACGCACCCGCTCACCAGTCCCGCCGCCCTGCCTCCCTAGCACCGGGGTCCCTGTCCCTTCAAGGCTTCCAAAAAGCACTCGGCAAAAAGAGAGAAAAAAAAGGGGAAAAACGCGCGATTTCTTCCGTCCTCAGGTGCTGGTCTCAGGCACCCACCCACCGGTCCCACAGGGAAAAATGCGGGATATTCTTTGTCCTCAGGTGCCGGTCCCAGGCACCCGCTCACCAGTCCCGCCGCCCTGCCTCCCTAGCACCGGGGTCCCTGTCCCTTTTAGGCTTCCAAAAAGCACTCGCAGAAAAGAGAAAAAAAAAAGGGGAAAAACGCGCGATTTCCTCTGTCCTCAAGTGCCGGTCTCAGGCACCCGCCCACCGGTCCCGCAGGGAAAAACGGGGGATATTCTTTGTCCTCAGGCGCCGGTCCCAGCCACCCGCTCACCAGTCCCGCCACCGTGCCTCCCTAGCACTGGGGTCCCCGTCCCTTCAAGGCTTCCAAAAAGCGCTCGCCAAAAAGAGAAAAAAAAAAAAAGGGAAAAACGCGCGACCTCCTCCGTCCTCAGGCACCGGTCTCAGGCACCCGCCCCCAGGTCTCGCAGGGAGAAACGCGGGATATTCTTTGTCCTCCGGCGCCGTTCCCAGGCACCTGCTCACCGGTCCCGCCACCCTGCCTCCCCAGCAACGGGGGCCCGTCCCTCTAAGGCTTCCAAAAAGCGCTCGCCAAAAAAAAAAAAAGCTCCGGTTTCTCTCCACCCGCCGGGAGCCGGGGGGAGGGGCGCTCGGGTCCCGCCGGGCCGGGGCTTGTATCTTACCCCCTTCGCAAGGCGCTGGTTCCTTGCAGGTGTGGATGTGGTCTGGATGTTGTCCTGTGTCCTGTGGTCTCTATTTTAGGAAGATTTTTCTTTGTTATATTTTCATAGCTCTATGTGTTTTTGGGAGGAGATTTCCACTGCTCTACTCACACCGCCATCCTGGCTCCGCCCCCCAGCCTCTCCAATGACATTTTTTACAGAAATAGGAAAAAACAATCCTAAAATTTGTGTGGAACCACAAAAATCTTATAATAGCTAAAGATATCTGAGAGAAAAGAACAAAATGGGAAGTATCACACTTCCTTATGTGTTACAAAGCTACACCAATTACAACAGTATGGTACTGGAATAAAGACAGACATACAGACCAGTAGAATAGAATAGAGAGCCCAAAAATAAACCCGCACAAATACACGGTGAACATATTGTCAACAAGGATCCCAAGAATACACAATGGGGAAAGGAATAGTCTACACCATAAGTGGTGCTGGGAAAATTGCATATCCACATGCAAAAAATGAAATCAGACTCTTACCTTACACTATACATGAAAAATCAATAGAAAGTAGACAGAAGACTTAAATGTATGACATGAAACTGTAAAACTCATAGAAGAAAACAGGAAAAAAAGCAACTTGACATTGGCCTTGACAGTGATTTCTTGGATATGACACAAAAAGCATAGGCACAAAAATAAAAATAGATAAGTATTACTACATCAAACTAAAAGGCTTCTGCACAGCAAAGGAAATAATCAAAAGAATGAAAAGGCAACCTATGGAATAGGTGAAGGTTTTTGCAAATCATATAGCTAATATAAGATTAATATCCAAAACATGTATGGAGCTCCCATAATTCCATAGCAAAACCCAAATAACTCAATTAAAACATGGGCAAAGGACTTGTATAGACATTTATTCCTTCATTTATTACTTTTTTCATTTGATTTTTTTCCTTCTTCTGAACCTTTCTTATCTCTGTATACATTTTCTGTCTTAATCTCTATCTTCTGAGTCATTATTTCCTTTTGTATTTTTGCTTTCAGTTGTGAAATATTTTTCCATTTACAGCAGACTTTATTCAACCATTCTCTGTTTAACAGCCTCTTTGTTACCCCATTTATACTGTGAAATGCATCTTTATAGGTTAGTCTTTGTCCAAGTTTCTGAATAGTTTTTTTTTGTTTTTAAGACTTTTGATAAATCTTGCCAAAATTACTCTCCCAGAAAAGTTGTACTAATCTGTATATTATACATGTTTTTCTATAATGAGATAAGATATACAAGTTCTTTATAATAAGATCATGTGTTTTCATGTTATAGGCTTTGAAATTTCTGAAAACCAGAAGAGGCAGGCTGCAATGACTGTGAGAAAAGTCCCTAAACAAAAAGGTAACACTGTCTTTAACCATCACCACCTCCACTGGCCTCAATCATTCTCTTTGTGAGACTAGGAAGCCATAAGCTGTGTGCTTGCATATTTCTAAGTTTGTTTCCTTGCTGAAGTTCACTTGGGATGATAGGGAGTATCCAGGTTCTCAGGTGTCACTGATGAGAGGTGGCAAATGGTCATAAAGACTTAAGGCTTATAAGTGAATAGTATAAAGTGGTCATGTCCAAAGATAGCTCATTGGGTACAGGAAAAAAGTAGAGCCTCTGTTACTTTTTTTTTGCATAACTTTAATAACTTTATACATGACTTTGCTAACAATTTAGACAGGTGGCCAATAATAAATGTGTAGAATTTATTAATAAGTATACATATATTAGGCATATGTACACAACTTTCTTTCATTAGTTTGGGTGCATTTGCCAAATCAGTGGTCCCTAATGAGAATGGAGAACTTTTACTTCAAACTGAATCAAGACGGAAGATTATAAAGTACTTAAAAAAGAAAAATACCTAGAGAATCAATTTGAATGTGAAATGAAGCTTTGTTTTCTCATTTTCACGAACTGGGCAAAATTACAGTGCTTAATTGAACAAAGGGAAGGAACTACCCTCTGTTTTTTAAGAGTCTACTCAGTACCAGTTATTTTCTATAAAACTTCTTTTATTTCATCTTTATGGTACCCCTGAAAAGATTGGCATTATTAATCCCGTTTCCCAGATGAGGAAACAAAGATCTTCAGGGTTAAGTGACTCTGAACCTAAGTCAGCTTGACTCCAGGTCCACTTTTCTCTCCTCTCCATCTCAGGGTTCTGCTGATTCTCCATGCTGGGGGGAAAAAAAACAACTCACTTTTTTGTCTCATATCAGTTACTGACACCTGCTTCTATTGCTGACAGCCACTATCAATTTCCCTAGGATGGGCAAACTTAATTAGACCTCACTTTCCCCAGGCCCTTCCTTCTGCTTTCTCAGTCAGCTTTCTAGTTCAGAATGAGTCATACAGAATTATTAGACTCGAGTTGCCTGAAATTCTAGCAGCCACGTAAAGCACTCTTAATTATTCCCAATGAAGTTCCTTTCATTGCAGAGGTTGAGTGCCTGTTAATAGCTTATTTCCAATTATCAGTGCACCTTGCTGGGATATGCCTGTTTAGATATGGACTTCCTTTTAATTGCTTATGCTTCTTGCTCTTGGGAGGCTCTCATTGGCTCTCATCATGGAAATGTGATTGTCTTTAGATATGGAATTAAAGGCAACCACTTCTAACCTCTTGGGGATGTAAATATGACAGTCTTAGAAAGCAATTTGAAGTTAATGTCAATAAGGATATGTTCTGTATTAATAGAATTCTCCTTGTGAAAGAATGTGTCCCTTCATTAGAGATTTGGACACAAAAGAGCTCTAGCCAGCTAAACAGTCCTCAGGCTAAAAAGAGGCTATTGTCCTAGTGGCCTGCCTCTGTTTCCTGTCTCTGACTTCCTGAGCTTCTCTCACTCTGATTTACTTCACTGTCTCTACCACACTGACCTTAAAAAGGGCATAGTCCCCCTTTATCTCAGCCCAGGTTCCCTTAAGCCTATCTGAGACTGGCTGATATTTTCACTGAGGACTCTTAAAGCAAGAAATATCCACAAAGCAACCAACCAGAAGACGGTCCTGCTCACTCATACCAAAATCTGCATCAAGTTCCTTCCTCACCCTGTCTTATTTCTAGGCTATTCCTTTCAGATCCTCTCTTGTCTCTAAACATTAGTTCACTTGAACAGCTTTCTACCTTTAACAGCAATCCTAAGGCCTTCAGAGAAACTCATCTAGTTTCAAACTTCCCAGAATTCCTATAAATCTCCTCCCTTATTTCTACTTCAAGTCTTCAAGACTCTCCTAGTCTAGGGCTATGGTGACTGATATATTTAGAGTACACATGTGGTAGTGGTTGTCGAACTTAGGAATTCAACAGTTATATCATGTACATGGGAAGAGAAGGAAGGAAGTTCTTTTAGACACCTATGAAAGCCAGCTTCCTTAACTCTTCCAATGATCCCTTCTTGGAAGTTATGGAGAAATTGTTGTTAAGGTTTCTCTAATGTAGATATAACTTGATAGATAATTATTCTAGTATCCCCTTACAGCCCTATCTGTAATGCCATGGGACCTTATTAACTTAGTCTACCACTCTGGAATAGGGGACGCCTGGATGAAAGAAAAGCAAAGAGGACAGAGCCTAGCTCCAAGGAAGTCCTTTTCACTTTATATTTGCCTTTCACAGTGCCTTAGTTTTAAGAATTGATATATAACATCTTGGGAGTAGGATGCTAATTCTTGTTTTATCACCCCATTTCAATTTGTCATCATGGAGGTCCCTACAGCATAGTTTCCATCTCCAGAGGCTTTAGGGCCAGCTCAAAATCAAATGAGTAGTCTAGGAAAGCTAAAATCAAGTTGACAAAGAAGAATCAAGTTGGAGTAATCAGTTTACCTTGATTTCAATACTAATTATATGGCTACAGTAACTAAGATAGTATGGTGTTGGCAGAGGGATAAACATATTAGATCAATGCAACAGATTAGAGAAGCCAGAAATAGACCTACACAAATATGCCCAACTGATTTTGACAAAGGTGCAAAAGCAATTCAGTGGAGGAAGGATAGCCTTTAAACAAATGGTGAAGCAATAAGACTTCCATAGGTCAAAAATGAACTTCAACCTAAACCTGTACCCTATAAAAACAAAGTCAAAAGGATAATGGACTTAGATTTAAAGCTTTTCAACTTTTAGGGAAAAAGTAGATGAAAATCTTTAGGATATGGGGCTAGGCAAAGAAATTCTTAAAACTTGACACCAAAAGTTTAAATCACAAAATGAAAAATTGATAAAATGGACCTCATCAAAATAGAAAATTTTGCTCTGTGAAAGACCATGTGAAGAGAATGAAAAGACAAGCTATAGGCAAGGAAAAAATATTTGCAAACTACATACCTGACAAAACACTAGTATCTAGACTATGTAAAGGACTCTCAAACTCAACAGTAAAAGTCACTCCAGTTAGAAAATGGGTGAAAGACAAATATTTCACTGAAGATGGTATATGGATGGCAGTTATGCATATGAAAAGTTGCTCAATGTAATCATTGGAGAAATGCAAATTAAAACAGCAATGAGATACCACTACAAACCACTTAGAAAGGCTAAAACAAAAGATAGTGCAAACACCAAATACTGGCAAGGATGCAGAAAAATTGAATTATTCATATGTTGCTGGTAATGTAAAGTGCACCAGCCACCCTGGAAAATAATTAGCAATTTCTTAAGACACAAAACATACAACTATCATATTACACTCCTGGGTATTTATCCCAGAGAAATAAAAACTTATTTTCACATAAAAAAAATATTTCACACAAATATTCATAACAGCTTTGTTCATAATAGCCCCAACTGGAAGCAATCCAGATGTCTTTCAGTGGGTAAGTAGGCAAACTGTGATAAATGCATTCCATGGAATATTGCACATCAATAAAAAGGATCCAGTTATTGGTACATGCAAGCTCGGAAGGTAATTCTCCAAGGAATAATGCTGAGTGAGAAAAGTCAATCCCCATATGAGGTTACATGTGCTATGACTCCACTTACATAAGATTCTTGAAATGATCTAATTTAGAAACAGGGAACAGATTAGTGATTGCCAGGGTTAATGGGGAGGTAGGGAGAGAAAAGAAGTGAGTAGTGTGGTTATAGAAGAGTTATAAGAGTGATCCTTGTGATAACACAAATGTTCTATCTCTTGGCTGTCCTGTAACAATGTTAGTATCTTGACTATAATTTTATACTGTAGTATTACAAAATCTTACATTTAAAAAAGCGAGTAGAGGAGATTCTCAAGATGGTGGCTTGAGTAGGGTGGTGGAAATCTCCTCCCCAAACCATATATATTTTGTAAATACAGTGAATACAGCTATTCCTAAAAGAGTGAACGGAAGACAGTACATGAGCCAGGCTACATCGGCAAGAGCCCAATATCTCACAGAAAATGGTAGAATACAAAGCTGTGACCTGGCAGGACCTGAGCACTCCCCCCACCCCAGCTCACTGGCTGGAGGAAAGGAATCAGAATGGGGAGGGAGTGGAAGCACAGGACTGCCATATAACCAGCTCTGGTGGTCTGGGAGCACAGACACACACTGCACGGTGCACTGGATATTGGAGGAGCAGAAAAGCAAGGTCCAAGATTGAGACTGTGAACAGGTTCCCACAGCCAGCTGCCCTGGGATTAAAGAAAAGTGGGAACTATGAAAGTCTTAAAGGGCCAAGGGTTTAACAGGTGGCAGGTGGACAAAATCATCCCAGCACAGTCAACTTAGCAGGCTGGGAACGTTAAGGATTTTCAGGTGCCCTAACTCCCTGGGTGGGAATGCAGCTCTGAACTCCCTCATGGCAATAAGTAGCCTGCTGTTCCTTCCCCCCTGCTTGCACTGCAAGCAAACTAGCTGACCTGCCATTGCTGCAGAACAGCCAGGGAGCAGACCCACCTACAGCAACTACACAGCTTAGCACAGAGGCTTCTCACTGTGCACGGCTAACCGGCCCAGACCCAGAGGCTGCTCGCGATGCCCGGGGAACTGGCACAGACAGTGGAAATCAGTGCAGAGTCCAGGAGGCACAAAGGGGCTTTGCGCTTATGGTGAGAACATGTGCCACTCACGTGCGACCCCTGCCAATGCCCTAGGCCATCCCAAGGGCCGCCCTGCCCACGGCAGCTCAGGGGATTAACCCAGAGGCTGCTCCATGTGCGTGGTTGACCAGCACAGACAGCAGAGACAGAAGCAGAATCCAGGAAGCACAAAGGGGCTTTGAACTCACTGCAGAACACATGCCGCTCACCTGCGACCCCCACTAGTGCCCTAGGCCATCCTGAGGGCCCGCCTTACCCATGGCAGCTCAGAGGATTAACCCATAGGCATTGAATACAGCTATTCCTAAAAGAGTGAACAGAAGACAA